TGATGTGGATTTTTTTTTCATGCCAACTCACATTATTTATATTTAAAAAAAAAAAAAAAAGAACTTCTGTCTTCTTCCTTTCTCTTTTTCTTCCTCTTCTTCCTCTTCTTTCTTCCTCTTTCTTCCTCGGCAGGCCATTGAACCCAGATCTGCTGGGTTCGACGGAACCCAGCCTGGGTTCCAGCGAACCCAGCAAATGGGTTCCATCGAACCCAGCAGCTGGGTTCCATCGAACCCAGCAGTTGGGTTCCACGGAGCCCAGCTCCACTTTTTTTTTTTGTTTATATGATTTTTGCTGGGTTCGACGGAACCCAGCTCCACTTTTTTTTTTAATTTGTTTATATGATTGTCTGCGAGATTATCCAAATTGCAGGTTGTTGTTAGTTATTTTTGGGCAATCGGTTTTTTGTTTTTGTTATATGATTGTTTGCCAAGAGATTATTCAAATTGCAGGTTGTTGTGGATTTTTGGGCAATTGCAGGTTGTTGTTTTTGAGGGATTTTTGGGCGAATTGAGCTGGGTTCGATGGAACCTGTTTGCTGGGTTACATCGAACCCAGATCTGCTGGGTTTTATCGAACATGGAAGGAAGAAAAACAGTAACGGATGGGCAAAGATGGTGATGTGGGACCCATTTAGATGTATTTGGCACGATTTTGCCAGCTAGCATGTGACATGGATGCATGTCATCCCTTTTTTAAGTTTTACTCTCCACATCATCAAAAAAAATATAAAAAATGCCACCTAAGCATGGATAACAGCTCAAATTAACAGAAGGACTAACGGAGTGCATTTTGTACGTTGAGGGATCAAAAAAGTGCAAAAAATTGTTGAGTGACCAAAAATGTTTATTTTTTAAAGTTAAGGGACCAAATTAAGCATTTAACCTTTAGTTAATATTAGTAGCATACGCAACAATAAGACGGAAAAGGAAACCAATTGAAGATAAGGGAAATGCAAAATCCAGCTCGATAAAGACAAAAAAGAGCCGTTCATATTCACCTAACTTTCCAAGAACCTGCAGAGTCCAACAAATCTTCAACTCTATTTATGAAGCTTATTTGTAATTGGATCGGGAGGTTTTTCACGTAGGCACGTAATATTTTTAAATATATGAAATATGTGTATTTAATAATTTTTTTTAAATTATAAAAAATCTATAGTAAATCTATAATAATTTTATATATAAAATTAAAAATTTTATTTTAGAGTTTTTTATTATAATTTTTACAAAAAATTCTTAATATTTAATATAATTATAAAATTATCATTACAATTTAATTTTATATAATTTAATTATATCATAATTTATAATATTTTAATAATAAAAATAAATTTAAAAACTTAAATTATTAAAAAATAATAAATATTATCTATTTTAATAATTATATTTTATAATATTTTTTAAAATTTAATTAATAATTAATAACATTTATCATATTTCATTTGTAATATCTTAAAAAATAAATAATTAAATATTAAAATAATTTTTAAATATAATTATAATGCAATATAATTCTACCCAATTACAGTAATAAGTGCAACCACAACCACGACACATTGCAGTAATAGAAAAGGCAACCTTAATTATTTATGAAGTGGACCTCCAATTTTTTCCATACAAATTCATATGTCACGTAAACACTATAAAGTGAAAGGAAAAAAAAAAGGGAAAAAAGGTAAAAGTCTCTAGCCACCACCTCAGCCATGGACGGACGGTCCCTCTGCTCCGCCACTCCTCTCATCCACCATGACCACCGCAATACTTGGTGGCGACGCCACTTGCAACTTAAAAACAGCCTCTCATCTGAACTCTCCGGGGCAGTTGGGGACTTGGGAACTTTCATCCCAATAGTCCTGACCCTAACTCTGGTGTCCAACCTTGACCTCTCTACCACCCTTATCTTCACAGCCTTTTACAACATCTCCACCGGGCTACTCTTTGGTATCCCCATGCCCGTCCAGCCCATGAAGTCCATCGCAGCCGTGGCAGTCTCTGAGACCCCTCACCTAACCCCCTCCCAGATCGCCACTGCAGGTGCCTCCACCGCCGCAACTCTTTTAATCCTCGGCGCTTCCGGTCTCATGTCCACCCTCTACCGTATCCTCCCCCTCTCCGTCGTCCGCGGCGTCCAGCTCTCACAGGGCCTCTCCTTCGCCTTCTCCGCCATTAAATACATCCGCTACAACCAAGACTTCATCACCTCGAAATCTACCTCCGCCCGTTCCTGGCTCGGCCTTGATGGGCTTATTATTGCCCTTTCTTCGATCTTATTTCTCGTACTCTCCACCGGCACCGGTGAAACCCATGGCCATAACGCTCTATCCCGTTCCCAGGATCCCGTAATCGATGACGATAACGATCCTCGGAGCAGGGGATCTCGCAGTTCCTGTGTGAATAAGAGATTAAGAATCTTGAATTCAATTCCTGCTGCGTTGATTGTATTTCTGCTTGGGTTGATTCTCTGTTTTATTCGCGACCCTTCAATCGTTAAGGATCTTAAATTCGGTCCATCGAAGATAACATTACTGAAAATCACTTGGGAAGACTGGAAAATCGGGTTTCTCAGAGCCGCGATTCCTCAGATCCCATTATCGGTACTGAACTCTGTGATTGCCGTCTGCAAATTATCCGGCGACTTGTTCCCGGACCGGGAACTATCCGCAGCGAAAGTCTCCGTGAGCGTCGGGATCATGAATCTGATCGGGTGTTGGTTCGGGGCGATGCCAGTGTGCCACGGCGCGGGGGGTCTCGCAGGGCAGTACAGGTTCGGAGCGAGGAGTGGCTGGTCGGTGGTGTTTTTAGGGGCAGGGAAATTGGTGATCGGATTGCTGTTTGGGAACTCTTTCGTGAGGATACTGAGTCAGTTTCCGATCGGAATTCTTGGGGTGCTTCTGTTGTTCGCCGGAATCGAGCTGGCGATGGCGTCGAGGGACATGAACTCCAAGGAGGAGTCGTTCGTGATGTTGGTGTGCGCTGCTGTTTCGTTAACTGGGTCGAGTGCTGCATTGGGCTTTGGGTGTGGGATTTTGCTGTTTTTGTTGCTGAAATTGAGGAAGATGGACTACTCCACGCCTTCATTTCTTAAGCTCAAATCTTCTGTCGATGATGAACTAAGCTCAATTCCCTAGACCTTAACTAGTCTAGACTACAGAAGGCGATGGACAAATTCATTGCGTAAGTGGGAAGCACGAAGTAATATGATGGAATGTCCCAATGTGATGGTGAAGATGAGCTCTTTGACTCAAGCTTGAGGCGAGCTACTCCTTGCCTCACTTATGTAAGTTTATCTTTAAGGGTTGAATTTAAGCTCACCTAGATATTTTTAAGCTCAGATTAGACGCTTTTGGGTTTAATAAAAGTTTAAGCTCTTCGTCATTTTAACTTCAAACTCGATTTGGAGTATTGTGGACTAGGCTCTGCTCGTTTGCTCCTAATTAATTAAGAGTGGAGACCTATTTCATTATTTGTCCAAAGTTGTTGCTCGATTTTGAA